ACTCCCAAGTCATAAATCACCTCCCGAAGCTAATCAAACCATTGGAACTCACATCCGAGCCCTCTAACACATAAGTTAACGTCCGGTTGACTTTTCCAACTCAAACCTTCTTAAAAGAGACTAAGTGTCTCCAACTTTACCAAAACCACTCCGGATTCAATCCAACCAACCCGACACCTCGAAACACGGATAAAAAATACATAAGGAAGCAGAAATGGGGGAAACAAAGCGGTAACTCATGAGACGACTGGCTGGGTCGTCACATCGGGTTCTCAGCATTTGGTGTGGTGGTACTGGTGAGCTTGCAGTACAACTCTCTCATTTGAGTCATTTTCATGATTTGAGTACGTTCAGATTGTTGCTTATTGGTGCGCGGATTGCACGAGTTGTGGCTTTAGATTGTATTGACGTGTCATGTCATCGGTGTAGTTGTGTTGGAATTAGATGAGATTGTTGGATCTAGAATGAATACAAACGGATTCGGTTTCAGGGCGTTGGAGTGAAATATTCGGCTCAGAAAATTTTCTATGGTCCTTGTTAAAGGAGAAGTGGCTTCCCAAATGGTTGATCTAGGGAGTGGTTATGACTTCCTATGTGTTTCATTTATCATTGGCAGTATAAGGAAGTGTTGGAATGAGGCTTTATTTGATAAAAGGCTTATTATTGAAATTCGGATGTTTTGAGCAACTGCTGTGATTAAAAGTTATCGCTACAAGTATTTGAGTTATGTGGTATGTCTTGTAATTGCACCTGAGGTTGCAGGTATGGGTTATTACAGTTTTTTCGGGCTTATTCAGAGTATAAATTTGAGATTCTAATCTTGTAGAGGATTTCAGAAGTGGAAATGTGGTTCTAAGGTTTATGGGCTAGGCTGGATTGCGAAATTTCAGTTACATTGTGTTGTCGGACCTATATGAGATAGGGTGACACGTGATCACCCCCGGGTATCTGCATGGTAAGGGTATACAACGACTTGTCGACTTTTGGAACAACTATGGGCACGTTCGAGGACGAACGTTTGTTTAAGTGGGGGAGGATGTAACGACCTGACCGGTCGTTTTTAGCTTTTGCACTTCGCACGCCAGTTCTCAAGCATGATTAGCCCCGTATTATGTATTGTGACTTATGTAAATTGTCGGTTGTAGTTTTCAGGATAATTGGAATTTATTTGGAAGAACAGTTCTCAGTTTCAAGCTTAAAATTTAAAAGGTTGACCAAGTTTTTATGAGTTGGTTAGCTACATTAGGTGATTTGGGACTTAGGAGCGTGATCGGAATGTATTTTAGAGGTCCGTGGAAGGTTTAGGCTTGAATTGGCGAAATTGAAATTTTGGCATTTTCCGGTTGATAGGTGAGATTTTGATATAAGGGTCGGAAGGAAATTCCGAAAGTTGGAGTAGGTCCGTTGTGTCATTTGTGACGTGTGTGCAAAATTTCAGGTCATTCGGACGAGGTTTGATAGACTTTTTGATCGAAAGCGGAATTTGGAATTTTTTGGAGTTCTTAGGCTTGAATCCGATGTGAATTTGGTGTTTTGAGCGTTCCGAAGGTTGGAACAAGTTTGAATGATGTTATGGGATATGTTTTCATGGTTGGTTGAGGTCCCGAGGGCCTCGGGTGAGTTTCGGGTGGTTAACGGATCAATTTTTGGACTTTGGACTTGGTAGTTTTGCTGGTTTTTGTTAAAGAGATTTTTGTTCATCACGTTCGCGGAGGGTGCGTCGTATTCGGCGAAGGGTGTTTTGTGTGATGATGATTTTTTTCTACGCGTTCGCGAAGGTGAGGACGCGAACGTGAAGGTGAAGGCAACATGTGCATCACGGATGCGTGATTGGGGTCGCGTTCGCGAAGAGGAGTGAGGTCGCTGGGCACCCCAGGCCCTTGAGCTATGCGTTCGTGAGATATTATCGCGTTCGCGAAAGGATGGAATGGCGAAGCATCGCGTTCGCGTGGCAACGTCCGTGTTCGCGAAAGGAAAAGTGGAGAGGCAGTGAATTTGGTCTACGCGAACGCGAGAGGGCGGTCGCGTTCGCGAAGAAGGAAATTTTACCTGGGGCAGAATGTGTTAAAGTGGGTTCCGCGACTTTTGGTCTATTATCCTCCATTGTTGAACGATTTTTGGAGCTTTTGAGAAGGATTGAAGAGGGAATCGAAGGGAAACACTTGGAGGTAAGATTTTTTAACTCTATACTCAATCCTAATGTGATTTCGACCTAATTAATCATGGAATTTGTGGAATTTAAGACAAAAAAACTGGAAGTTAGGGCTTGGAAATTGGAGACCTAAATATAGGAATTTGAGGGGTCATTTGTGGTCGGATGTTGATGTATTTGATATGTATGAACTCGTGAGAATGTAAGGATTCCATTGATGTTAATTTTGTCGGATTACAAGACGTGGGCCCGGGGGCCGGGTTTGACCAATTTCGGGATTTTTGGTATAAATTGGATATATTCGACTGGGCTTTGTTCCCTTAGCATATTTTGATTGTATAAATCTGTATTTGGTTTGATTTGGAGCGTTTGGAGACCGATTCGAGAGGCTAAGGCATCGCGGGCTAGAGTTTGGACCGGATTGATGTTAGTAATGATTGTAAATATTGTTCTGAGGGTATTAAACCCCGGATTTCAAATTGTTATGCTACTTTGAGGTGACACACACGCTAGATGACGAGCGTGTGGTCGTGCACCGTTGGGGATTGTGACTTGGTCCATCCCGTACGACTATTAAGTCGCGTATTTTACTTGAAAACTATTGATATTGCCATATTTTGGAAGATATTATTGTGTTTGGGGATAAATGCCGTGTTTGAGCCTTGTGCCGAGTGTTTGGACCCTTAGGGGCTTTTACTACTATTTTACCTCACTATTTTGGTTAACGTTTACACTCAGTCATGCTATTTTCTTACTGTTTTCAAAACTCGATTTTATTCACTCCTTTTGATTTCATAAATGATTTTGAGCCGAGTACTTGTTTTACTGTCAGCCCGAGGGGCTTGAGTGAGATCTGACTAAGTGAGGCCGAGGGCCTGTGTTGTGAGGATATCATGGGATCGGGCTGCGTGCCGCATCATGTGGTACCGAATTATGATATATGAGAGGCCGAGGGCCTGATTTATTGTGCCACGAGGTGGCTTGTGATTGATATGCGGCCGAGAGCCTATTTGATTATGCCACGAGATGGCTTGATATTGCGCTTGGGCTGTAAGGGGCCCGTCCTGGAGTCTGTACACCCCCAGTGAGCGCGGGTACCTAGTGTGTGTGATGTGTTGTAGCCCGAGGGGCTGTTGCTGTTTCATATTGAATCCCGAGGGGCTGTTCTTGATCTATGTTGCCCGAGGGGAGGTTCTTGATTCATGTTATGCCCGAGGGGCTGATTACGAGTGATTGTGAGGTAGCCCGAGGCGCTGGTTCTATTGATATTATGCTCGAGGGCGGTTTATGGTACATGTTTTGCCCGAGGGACTGTTTACGTTTCTATCATTTTTACTCACTGTTTTTATCACTCGTTTGAAACTATTGAAAGTTGTTTTAAAAAGTTTTTTACTTAAATTGAGCATGATTTACGAAGTAAATTATTTCTGTACTGTTTTGGAAATGTACTTCATTTGCTGTAGCGTTACGACGTGGCTTACGTGTTTTCTTACTACTCAGCTTTCATTTACTTTTATTACTTACTGAATTGGTGTACTCACATTACTCCCTGCACCTTGTGTGCAGATTCAAGTATTATTTAGATTCACGTATTATTTTGAACCCGGTAGCGGGTGTTGATTGGTCAGTGGCAGAGTCATCGGAGTTAGTAAGGTAGCTGCCCGGCGTTCGCAACACTGTTTTTCTCCCTCTTGTCATCCTTAGACTGTATTGAGTACATTTTTAGACTCTTAGTTCTATTCAGACCTTAGTAGATGCTCGTGACTTGTGACACCCCGATGTCGTGCTTGTGTATTTATTTCGCATTGTTCATTTAGACTTACATTACGATATATATCTGATTAATTAAAGGCTTAAAAGTGATTGTTATTGATTAAATGGTTAATTCGTGAGTTTGTCGGCTGGCCTAGTTTCACGATAGGCGCCATCACGACCGGGTCGGTTTTAGAGTCGTGACACTTACATACCATGAACAATCAAGAAGAACGAATTAAGAAATATTAGGAGTGTTGACTGTTGGTTCAAATAATCTATGTCAGCAACTATTATTTATTTTTATGCTCCATTCGCCGAATTCTGAATGGATTTTCTTACTGATTTTTTGGCGGTCTTTCTTCATGTTCTCTATACGGATTCTGCGCATGATGGGAGTTTTAGCAAGAGTACATATAGACTTTTAGCCTGGTGTTTGGAGATAATTTAATAATTATTTATGTTGCTCGTTTACCTTTTACATGTAATTGATATATTTGCTTATTTTGTCTTTGAATTGGTACCTTAAGTTGTAAAATTACATGATTTCATAATCTAATATAATCTTCTGTTGTAATTCAATGTAAAAGGAATATAGAATTGATATGGAGCAGATGAAGTACAGAGGAGAATCTAGAGAGGAAGAGAATGTATCTGCTTGTATTGAAAGAATGAAAACCGTGTGTTTATATAGAGCTTAACGTCTCTTTATATAGTATCACTAACTACCTAATTAACTGATAATCTAACTAACTTAACAACTAACAACCTAATGAGAAATGACTAAGATACCCCTTTATACTTTAACACTCCCCCTTAAGCTAGATGGTGTGAAAATGTTTAAGACACCTAGCTTGGAGTAAGTATTCATGTTGAACCAAACTAAGACCTTTTGTAAGAAGATCAGCCGGCTGATCTTTTGTTGCAATATACTTGGTAGTTACCAAGCTTTGTTGAATTTTTTCTCTTACAAAGTGGCAATCTATTTCTATGTGCTTGGTTCTTTCGTGATAAACAGGATTTACAGCTATTTGAATAGCTGCTTTACTGTCACAGTATATCTCAACTGGTAGCTTGATATCTGCATCCACTTCTTTCAGTTACCCAATAGCCAAATTAACTCTGCTATACTAGTTGCTAGGCTTCTGTACTCAGCTTCTGCTGAGCTCTTAGACAGTGTGGTTTGCTTCTTAGATTTCCATGAGACTAGGGAATCTCCTATCTTAATTAAGAAACCTGTTACTGACCTTCTGGTAAGTGGACAAGAAGCCCAATCTGCATCACAGTATGCAGTAATAGTGTTACTGGATTTGCTTGACAGTAGTATCCCTTGTCCTGGTTGATTCTTTATATATCTTACAACCCTCAAAGCTGCATCCATGTGAGATTTCTTGGGTTGTTGAAGGAATTGACTGAGTGTTTGAACACCAAATGATATGTCAGGTCTTGTTACATTTAGATATAACAGTTTGCCAATGAGTCTTTGATAGGCTTGCTGATTAGTGAGAGGATCTTCTGATTTGACACCCTTTCCAACATGTTCATCATACAAATTTGATGTGAGCTTCATGTTGGTGTCTATAGGAGTTACTGCAGGTTTAGCTGCTAATAATCCAGCTTCAAATATAAGTTCTATTGCATATTTTCTTTGATGCGTGAAGATTCCATGTTTAGACCTTGCAAATTCTATACCTAAAAAATATTTCAATTCTCCCAGATCTTTCATCTTGAAGGCTTTCTGCAGTAACTGTTTGGTTTCTTCAATTAGTTTCAAACTATCTCCTGTAATTAACATATCATCAACATAGACTAACACCATTACACTTCCCACACTTGTCCTTTTGATAAACAGAGAATTATCAAATTGACTTTGTTTAAACTGAAACTTCAGCAACGCTTCAGATTGCTTTGCATTCCATTGCCTTGGTGCTTGTTTAAGCCCATACAAGGATTTGGTAAGTCTGCATACTTGTTTGTTCTCCCCCTAGCTTGAAAATCCTTGAGGTAAATCCATGTATATTTCATCATGAAGGTCTCCTTGAAGAAAGGCATTATACACATCCATTTGGTGTATATGCCACTGTTTTACTGCTGCTAGAGCCAAGATAGTCCTAACAATCATCATTTTCACCACATGTGAAAATGTTTCTTGATAATCAATTCCTTCTTGTTGACCATACCTCTTTGCTACTAATCTATCCTTAAGCCTTTCAATTTCACCTGTAGCTTTGTATTTGACTTTGTAAATCCATTTACACCCTATAGATTTCTTACCTTCTGGCAGTGTAACCACATCCCAGGTCTTATTTTTTTCAAGTGCCTTTATTTCTTCATTCATTGCTTCCACCCATCTAGGATCTTTTACTGCTTCTGAATAGTTTGTAGGCTCAATAACAGAAGAGAAGTACCCACATAGGCTTGATATTTAGCTGATAGTTGATCATATCCTAGGTACTTGTTTTATTGCGTAGGGCTCATCTTTATGAATATTCAATGATACAAAATATTTCATCCATATTGGTGGATTTTTGTCTCTTGTTGATTTTCTGACATTCAGCTGTTGAGTTTGGACCAACTCTTGTATTTGTTGATCTGCAGTTATTTGTTCTGATTGTTCAGAAGGTAATTGAACATCTGTGACCGGTCAAGAACATATATTTGTATTTGTTGCTGATGATTCTTGTGTTGTAGGCATTTCATACTCTTGATTATGCTATTCTGATGTAGTGTCTGTTGTGAGCACGTGTTTTTTTCCTCGCATGAATTACTCCTACAGAATTCTTAGATTTAGGTTTTTCCTTTTAATTATTTGATTTTAGGAATTAATTGCATAATTTTCATGTTTATTTGCATTACTGTGTGCATTTTCAATTTAACATAAACTCATAAAAAATACAAAAAATACGCATTGCATTTGCATTTAGAATTTAATATATTAGTAATTAGGATTTCACAAAAAAATACAAAAAAAAAATCACAAAAAATTGAGTTATTTTTGCTTTGTTTAATTTTTAGCTTTGAATTTGGTTAGATTTCCTTTAAATTTAGTATTTAATTAATTGTGTCAATTATTAATTAGATTGCGTAGGTTAATTTAGTTTTTATAATTAATTTAGACTTTTAGTTTTGATTTGAAAAGAAAAAAAAAGAAAATCGAAAGAAATTGAGTCTCTTATTTTTAAAGACCCAAATTTTCGGCCAATCTCTTATTTAATCCCCCAGCCCAATCAATTACCCTGTTACCCGTCCCAAATCAGCCCATACCCGCCTAGAACCCGGTCCAACCCCCCTCCCCCCCTTTTCCTCCTAAACGACCCCGTTTCTTGTCCGTAAATCCCAGCCCTTGATTTCCCGTGATCCAACGGACAGGAACTGGGGGTCTCTTTAATATAAGAGTGTCCAAACATCGCCCCTACCCCCTCACTCATCTCTCATCTCCCTCACCAGAAGACCCCTGTAACGCCACCATCCGCCGTCGCCGAAAATCGCCTCACGCCGGCGGCGAGTCTCCGATTAACCCCATTTTTGCACCATAGTTTCCTCTCCTCTCCCTCATACCCATGCCACCATTTGTTTCTCTCAAATCCCAGTGGAAGCCCTCAAAATCCCCAAACCCTAGGGCGCTGCCATTGATTCTCCGCCATGTCTGGCGGCGCCACCTCCGTTTCTCACAAAAACGACACCACAGGTTCTCCTCCACTCCCACATCACAAATCCACACCCCTTTTCCCTCGAATCAAACCCGAATTGCTTGAATATTCGAATGAAGATCGGAGCAAAAATCCTAACCTCTCTAAATTCCACCAAAATCACACCCTAGGACCGTCCTCTCTCCCTAATGCTAAATCCGCACCTTGAATCCTTCGAACCCCCCAGGAGCCGGTCGAATCTTAAATCAAAATAAACCCCTGATACCCAGAAGATCTCTGGTTCGTTTCTGCTTAGAGATTGGGATCCGTTTCGAGGTTACTCGTGTGTTCTTATTAAGAACACATGATTAATATCGCAATGGGCCAGAAAATCCAAAGAAGTGGAAGCTTTGTCCTTTCTTGCATGTGTTGATGTCCCTGTAGGTATTTCTTTTCATTTTTTTTCTTTGTCAGTTTATTTTCTCCACTTTTCTTTTGTTTCGCTTTCCAATGTTATCTGTTTCTTCCCTTTTCTTTTGAATCTTGCAGTTTTATTAGTTCAGAGTGTTATCTACATACATGTTAGCTTGTTAAGAAGTTTTTTTTAAGTAATCTGTTAAAAATTTAATTCAAATTCCCCTAAGTGTTTAGTTGCATCAATTGGAATTAGTTGAAATTTGATTCTGCTGATTTCAATTTTCAGAATTTAAGTCTGTTTATGTTTTGGGCTTGATGTATAGCTCTGGGTTCTTTGAGTCATCTGTGGCCCAATTTAAAAAGGCCCAGCTGTTCCTGAGCCCAACCTTGTTTGGTAGTTTAGTTAATTTTCAGGGCTTTTAAGGGTAATATGGGTAATTTAAGTTAGAGAATCTTGCAGTAACAGAATAGGAAGCCCCTAGAAGCTTCTAGTGTGGGGTTCTAATTTCAATTTCAGGCTTTTAGGGAGGATAACTTGGAAAACAAGTCATAAATTGAGGGACCTAAGGGGTAAAATAAGACCTTAAGGTTGCCCTACTTTTTTTTGCCTATAAAGGCATCCTTTCCTTGCTATTGAAGTCAGATTTTAGAGCCTACAGATTTTAGAAGCCTAAGAGATTTTAGAGAGCAAAAAAGATTTTAGAGACTGCAGAGATTAGGGGAGCCTACAGACTTTATTTTCTACTATTCTATCAAATTATTTCTCTAATTTTTAAAGTTTCCAACTCCTGAAACAATTACTGAGCAATTGAAGGTTAAGATGGCTTGATTTTGGTTGGTTTGCAAGAGTTTTGGTTCAATTGTGGTTTGTTTGTGATTACTGAACATTGTTTTGAAAGTCTTGGTGTTTCGAACCTGTTTCAAAATCAATTTTCTTTGGTTGATTTCTGGGCTAACTCTATTGCTGATCATTGGTGCTGCTTGCTCATATCTCCTTTTGCTTTTTCTCTTCAAATTCCAGGTACATATTCTGAGCTGCCCTGATGTAGCTCTCAATTTGGGAATGAAAATAAAAGCTATGCATGACTTCTCGTGTTGATATGTGTTCATTTGGTTCAGTGTAGTTCAATTAGTCTTTATCGATTAGCTAAATCTTCACATTGTAACTAACTATGGACTGTTGAAATATATTATGTCTTATTCATTTAGTTTAGCTCTAGTGGTGTAGATTAGTTTTTGCAATTCATGTTAGCCTAAATGTAGAGATAAGTTTGGAATTTATCAGGCTCTATCACTGTCCATTGTGTGTAAACCTTCAAGTATATTCAAGGTTTACTATCATGTTTCAAATGTTAGTTCGAATTTTACGTTAGAGTATTGTGTGAATCTGAAAGTGATTGCAAGATTACTGTGTGTGCTTGTATTAGCTCTAATTCTGTGGTTTAATAGATGTTCGAAATGGTCCCATGCTTCAGTGCTTAGATCCCATAGCTTAGTCTTGAGGTCATTTAATTAGAGTTTTGAGATCTGCAAAAAAAATAAAAAATCCAATCGTTCATGCATTTTTTTAGTTTTAAACGTGTATATCCCTGTTGCTTGTCCATTATTCGTATATTGAAAAGTAAAGTTTAAAAGAGCTGGCCTATGAGTTGAATCATTGTTAATTTATGTCAAAGGTCTTAAATTAGAAACCCAAGTCCTTAATCTCATGTTTATGTATCAGTACTGATTTTGTTTGCATTATTGCCTGGACTATTTGGACCATAAGGACTGGACCTAACTTTGGCCCAGTTACATAATAAACAAGCCCAAATCTTATCAACCCGTTGAGTCGATTAATTTTGCTAAGTTTTGGCCTGTAGGGACTCGATCCTGAGTCCCACTTTCAGTTTCGCATCCGAATTGGGCTTATCCTGGGGCCCAAAATTTGGATAATTTTTACGAATGGAACTGGAAGCATTTTCCTTTTCCTTGGGCCAGATTCTCACCAAGTTCCCTTTATCTTGGACTGGGCTGGTTTCGAGCCTAACGTGTTGGAAGTCCTGGATCATTTTTGGATTTAACGATTTTTAAATTGAAATGTAGGCATTGGGCCTTTCAAGTTAAGTAGCAGACCCGAACTAAGGGCTTCTTCAATAATAGAGATCGTCTTTGTTTGAGTTTGGGCTTGATCTTGGGGCCCAAATTTTCTTGAATATTTTGATGTTAGTTAATCCTTAATGTTAATCATGTAAACCCTTTAATTAGAATAGAAGTTGAACCTTAATAGATAATAATAGTTCATTTTTAGGACATCCTTTTAAAAAATGGAACCGAGGTGCGCCGCTCCAAATAAAATCACAAATTGCGTGGCCCTCCTTAATTATCTCTTTTAAAAATCTTTAGAATTCGGGACGTGCCATTTAGCGAATTTCCCATGGCGTCCCGCAAAGTTAACAACGCGTTAGTTGCTTTAGGCGCGTCCTTTAATAATATTACCTTCCTAAACTCGGGTGTGCATTTCATGTGACCCAAATCCAAATCCTAAAACGTTGAATAAAATGTGTTTCGCATTGCGGGTGCATTTCATATGACGCGATCCAAAGACATGTTTTGAACAACGTTCAATCTTCCTTAAAAATTAATTAAAAGCGGTAATAACTTAAAATTGCATCATAGGTTGGAACATGTATTAAAATCAGATAATAGGACAATTATGATAGTTTAAGCGACCGTGCTAGAACCACGGAATCCGGGGGTGCCTAACACCTTCCCCCGGGTTAACAGAATTCCTTAGTCAGAATTTCTGGTTCGCAGACTTCACATGGAAAGTCGAAATTTTTCTCGATTTGCGATTCAAAATAAACCGGTGACTTGGGACACCAAAACCATCCCAAGAAGCGACTCTGATCCTTAAATAATCCCATTTCGAATAATGTCACTTAAAGTGGAAAAACTCCCTTATACACTATCCTTCCGGGGGTGGTGTGTAAAAAAGGAGGTGTGACAGCTCTGGCGACTCTGCTGGGGACCCAAACCCAGAACTTCGGTTCAGGGTTCAAGAATTCGAGCTTAGAATAGCTGTTATGATTGGCTTTATCTGATTTTCTTACATGTTTCATCCTAATGTGCTAAATGCTTTACCGCTTTGATATTTGGTGAATTGTATATATAAACTGCTACGAAACCCTTCCTCCCTCTGAGTCTTCTACATCATGGAGAAGGGTGCACTTCGTGTGACTTCTCTTCTGTCTAACGTCTTATCCCATTTTAGAACGAGGTTCGGACAAGTTGCTAAGCTGGCGAAGCTTCT